AGAGAGAGAGAGAGAGAGAGAGAGAGAGAGAGAGAGAGAGAGAGAGAGCACGCGTTTCATAAGATGCGTCCATCTGCATAACTAGAATAAGCAGCGCGCGATTTCACGACCTTGAGAAACGTCACCATGCACTTCGCCGTCGTCGTCGTTTCGTGGTAATATTATTCCGAGAGATAAAATTAATATATACTCGGGGAAATAATGGCGGGCGGCCGCGCGAACTAGGCTTGAGACGCGGCCGTGTCTCTCGATAGTATCTGTTAATTACCGCTAACTGTACTACCACGCAATCACGTTAACCGCAACCGCTCTACGCCGAATGTATTATCGTTCGTATGCCGTTAAGGGAAACCCGGACGAGCGAGTGAATTTTTTCAACACGTCAGTGTCGACACCGTAACGGGGTTCATCGCGATTGATTACCTGGCAATAATTATGTAAGCATTCGCGAATTAGTCGCGAGTCGCGAGCACGTGTAACGGCATTTCGTGCCAATTTCGCACGATTCGCTATTAGATATTCGTGTCGAATTACGATCGCTGACGAAAACTGTCATCGTCGTCGTCGCGCGCGCGTCGTTTCCGTCGACGTAAGTCGCTCGCTCGACGATGAATTTTGTGAACCCTCTGAAATTTTGTTCGGAGACGCACGCGAGGATCTTGAACCTTCCAAAACCGGACCTAGATATCTTTTCCTCTCTTTCTTATTCTCTTTCTCTCTCTTTCACCTTCGCTCTACGCTTCACCTTCTCTCCCTCATACCGGTCCGTTGTCCACGGAGAGAGAAGCCGGTCTTCACATTCAGAATAAGTCAGACGTAGCGCGGTGAAGTTGAATGCGTCGCCTTGATCTCAGCTGTTGCGAAAGAGGCTCCGGAATGCGGGAAAAGCGAGGTGAAAGCGAGAAATGGAAAATCGCGACGAATGCGTCGAAAGAGAGGAAAATGAGAGCGAAGAAAGGATCGCACGCGTCCCCTACAAAAGCGGGAGAAGCACGTGCATTCGAAAGACGCGACGATGTCGTCTCATTTTATGAGTAATTTTACTCACATCCTGAGATTATTCATCGTTCCTATAATGGTAAGAGCGATTATCGTCGATAATTGCCAATGAGCGTTGATTAGAGTTGGATATTAACCAATTAAAATTTTCTTCGACTAAAATAACCGACTCAATAATCAAAATTAATCAACTTATATGATAGTTCCATCGAATTTTGCGAATTTCGCGAATAATTTTATCAATTAATTATTATTAATTAATAATCAATATCAAAGTTTCATGTGATTAATTATATACTAATAAAAATTAAAATTTTCTTCGATTAAAATAATTAACAAATCAATAATCAAAGTGAATTAATTATATATGTAATCACGTTATATATGTAATCACGTTATATATGTAATCACAAATAATTTAATCGATTGATGAAATTAACTATTAATTAATGTATAGTCAAACACATCAAAGTTTAATTAATTTCGCAAATAAAATTATTTGTGATTTCATATAGCGATTGTGTGTGATTAATTTTGATGATTGATTTGTTGATTATTTTAATCAAAAGAAATTTTAATTAGTTCATATCTAACACTGTAGTCGTGTGCGATGTTGCGGAATCATATCAATATTTCGTTTTCATCCTATTCTATTTGAAAAGAAAATTTACCCGAACAAGAAATCAAACACATCAGAATTTGCAGAACACTGCAAGTTAATCGATCAACTTTCTTGGGGTGAAGGAGAGACGAGGTGAGAAGCTAGAAAACATCTCACGTATTACAAAGTCATAAATCGCATCGACAATCAACTAAACAGCCGGAAAGCTTATAGAGCGCAGATATTGTTGCTACTAGACCTGGCTGAAAGTCAATCAACGGACTCACTCGATACGCTACGACGTGACTATGGCATGTTCGTCCGAACGGTTTGTCTGTTCGCGCGAAGAAGAGAGCGCCTCGACGAGGAGACACAGAGATCGACGACGAGTTCGTACTTCGGCAAGGTTACGCGGCGAGCGCGTAGTCGAAATAATATTGGCGCTCTCGCGAGCACATATCGTGGTGGTTCATAAAGAGGCGAGAGCTTGTATATAGGGAACCGTCTACCAAAGAGGGGGAGGAAGGGTCCCGAGGAGTTGGCCAACGGAATGTTGTTTGACCGGCTGACCATCCCCCGCCTCCTCTTCCATCGCGGATCCATCGAGAGAACGAGAGAGGAGAGAAGCGGAGAGAAGAAGACGCCGGTCTGGCCCAACCGCCTGTGGATCCTAATGGACTCCATTGGGGTGCTCGAATATTCTTTCGCTATCTCGGACATCTTCCATGGGAGATTCGTAATCTACCCGGCGTAAGACACTCTTTCTTAATGCTCACCGAGGTACCTGCTGTTACCCTTGTATCGTTTACGACGGATTCGAAAAAGGGAGAGAGGAGCCGAATGTATGGAGGAGGAAGCCGTGAGACGCGAAGAGAAATAATCGAACGCGCGGGTATTACGCGTTGCCAAGTGAATTCGTACCACATGAATCGATTTCGCGAACTTGGTTTATTTGTTACGTACTCTCCAAATTTTTCAGAGTGCAATCTCACTCGGAACGAGTGACAAGTAGCAGTATTTTCACTCGAAACAGTAATGATAATATTGCCACTCGAAATTTCCAAAATTAATGCTTCACTTGGACTTAAAATAAATTCTGACTTCACATGAGCGAATACTTTTATTGATTAGAGTGAATATGTTTCTGTGACGATAAAGCACGTCGGATTCACCCTTCAATTTTGAGTAAAGATATTCACTCAACGAGAGAATATAGAGTTTCATAATAGAGAGTTCACTCTGCATGAGTGGAAAATCATTCGAATTCGAGTGATGCACTAGTCACTCTGCTTTTCAAGTAGAATTTCACTCCAAGAAATTTAAAGAGTACTCTTCAAATTTCTTGGAGTGGAATCTCACTCAAAACAAGTGAAAAGTGTCAGTATTTTTATTTGAAGCGGTAGTGAAAGTACAACTTTTCCAAATCGCGAGTGAATGCTTCACTCAAGATTAGAATGGATTTTGACTCCACATGAATATTGCAATCGATTAAAGTGAATATGTTGCTGTGACGATAGAGTACACCGGAATCACTCTTCAATTTCGAGTGAAAATGTTCACTCGACGATTCAGAGTGAAGAATTCACTCTGTATGAATAAAAAATCAACTCAAATTAGAGTGGCCACTGCGCTTTTTGAATAAAACATTCCAAGAAACTTCAAGAGTACGTAAGAAAATGTATTTCATTTGGAGGAGATGAAAGAACGACCGAGAGAAGCTATGAGACTTAATTTGCAACTGATATTCGGGACGTTAACGAGTAGAAACCATAAGTCTTATATATACAAATCGGATATACGATACCTCTTTTCTCCGAGATCCGACACACCTGACGGGAATATTGTCGAATGCAAATTCAATGAGATAACGATCGCATAGAGCGATGTACCTGCGAGGGAAGGTAGAGTATTGATAAAAGGCATGTTACGCGTATTTATACGCGCGGGGAGATTCCACGGCGATAATTTGATATTACGCTTATCTGTCCGTAGTATCGGCGAAACGGCGGAATGATTTAGCGGAGGCAAGGAATTTCTGCGATCGGGCGTTAATAATGAGGATTTTTGCCGCGTACTTTCAGCGCGTCCGCGTGCACGCGTGCACGCGCGAAACAAGGAGGATTTTAATTGAATGCCCATTGAATGTAGCTGGCACAGCTCGGAAATGTATTATCGTGGGAAGACTTTCCTCGCGCTGCATCGCGCGCTCACGTTGTAACGCGGAGCTGCCCGCGTAGACACGCGATTATCTCTCGATACAGACGAGACGAAGACGAAAATGGCAGTGACCTATGAGGCTGTCCGTCGATAATGCGAGAACTTAGTCAAAGGAGATGCACGACTGACACGCTCACAATGGGCAAGCTCGGTGTATGTACCTGCACTTTGTGCATTGACCGTGCGATATGTTTCCTCCTCACGTTCGTCGCTCGGGGAAAATCGCGAGATCGGCAATAATTCTAGGAAAGCGCAGATCCACGCCAATAGATACTCGCCACGAAATTGTGTCAACGGCTGCGATCGGTCCGATCTAGCGCGCGTCTCTTGAGGTTTGTCTTCCTCGAGAGCCATCGATCGAATTTCGCCGAAAGAAAAAGCCACGATCGTTTGAGGAAATAAAATAGAATAGGAGCTTTATTCATAACGGGAGTGCTCTTTAATTGCGTTAATTATTAATGTAGCGCGAGGATAGAATGAAATTATACGCGGGAAAAACGGTATGGTCGGCCCACACATAAATTTGATTGTGCCAACTAGATTCAGTAAAATACGGAAAAGCTAATTATGTGCTTGCTGCGACCGCATAACAATTGTTGAGGTGGTGCAATATCTGGTTGCTCCAACCAAAGTATATCCGTTGTAAATATAACCACAACCGATTTCTTCCGTTTTTCGACAACTACTTTTTTACCTAGATTACGCGCAACTGATGTAGTTGATGTACCAAAATGAGTCTAATCAATCATAAACATTACCGTTACATAGAGATAATTAGGGACTGATAGAAAAAATGGTTGATCTAAGTAAAATTATAGCTATTTCTGGCTCCAACCATAATTTTTTTGGTTGTTCTAACATGGAAACGGTAGTAGTAACATTATATAAAGTTATTATCACTAACATAATATTTTATTTAAGAAATGGTTTTTTTAAGCATAATTTATAATCATTATTTTTCTATGTGATTATAGTTACAGATACCAAACATTTTTTCTCAGTGTGATGCACCTGTATTGTTCACAACTAAATATTTTTGGTTATGTGCACTATATTCTTCTTTTTCTAAATTTAATATAATAATAAGACATAATGTGTGCACAAATA